AATTCTGCCTGATTTGATGCTCTTGAGAGAACTGAAGAGTTATTTTTTTATCCTGGGTCAATGTGTTTAACCTTTAAAATTATGTGTTCTTGTAGCTTTATACTTTTCTGAGCTGATCAACAGCAAGTGGACTGTCAGGCAGTCTCGAAAAAAACATTCCTTCTCAAGGCCGTGACAGTTGCTCCTTTCGGAGCAGGCTTATTAAAGTGGGGTAACTTTCTGCTGTAGTTAGGTCTAGATATTATATAAGATATAAGAGTATGACTAAGAAATCTATTATTGATGCCAATTAAACTCTCATTTATGTGAATCCTGTGGAGACAACCAAGCTGAACTTTGGGACCTCAGGGTTAAAACTGCCTTTCCGTCGCATGTTCAACCACCTGTTATGTGTCTTAAATAACTAATGTCAGATTTTGACCTTCAGCATTTGGAGAGAGGGGTTGAAAATCCTAGGGCTTTCAAGTATAGGTGCATGTTATTCTTCAGACAGTAATATATTAATTTTGTTCCTTGTAGAAGTATTTTAGTAGAGCATTAGTCACAAATTGCATTCAAAATTATATTTCTTAAGGATTTTGTTTGGTAGTAACACAATTAAATGGATCATAAAAAAAGACTTTTTAGAGACTGTCTCAATATAGGGTTTTACTTTGAGTGGCCATTTGCTGACTCATTAGAGTTATAGTGTGAAGTCTAAAGTAGCATTTTTAAACGGCCTTCTCAAAAGTTGGTATTTTTCATACTATTGCAATATGCGGACCTGTCTAAAATACCCATCATTGTGTTCATTGTTATTGTAATCCAGTTAGCAGTTACTTAAGGGGATAACTTTATGATATCAGAAGATTTTCATCATTTGACTCTCTCAGAAGTTTCTCTCTCCATTATCAATCATTTTACAGTTCTTGGGTAGTGTCAATCCAAGGGTAAAATGAAACCTGTTGACTTATCAGTGTTGTATAGTCTAAAACATTCTTAACTGCCTCTTGTTTTTGAGCACTTTGAAATGCTGTAAAAGGTTACCCCATGATTGTATCCAGCCTGTTGCTGAAGAATGTTAATTTATTTTATATCAAACCATTTTAGGGCCCAATCCTGCTAAGAAGCTACAGTAGTCTTAGAGCGCCTTGGAAATTAGTATTGTCTCACGTTCGTTGCTTTTATCTATCTATTTATTTATTAAGAATGGTCTGAAAAGTCTCAGGAAAAAAGGAATTTTTCCACCTCTTCTTTGTGGAAATGCCCTAGGATTCTTGAATCTCCAAAGGCCTTTTACACATACTTCTTTAAAACAGTCTGTTTGAAAGGACTTATGGGGCACATCCTGGCGAGCGTACACACGTGGTTTGAGGCACAGTGCCAAAATCTGGTACCAGGAAGTCCTGGTATAAAAAAACCCGGCGTGGCTCATGCTCCAGGAGCGTGTGCTGGAGCCATGGAGGCTGGGTCCTCCAGGGAGATGCTCTGGCTGCGAGCCAGAGCATCTTCCATCCTTTAGGTCTACCCCGGCTCCTCCAGCATGCCAGGATTCAGGAGAAATGGACAGTTTGCCCAAAGTGGGGTATTTTCCCTTGCACTTCAGTGCATGTGCACAAATTTGTGCTGCTGTAAGTGCATGCCCCTATGTATGGCATTTGGGGACATGGCCATTATATCTGGTGAAAAAAATTACAAGACATTTGACCATCTCTAATTTTTACAATATGAGACTTTCAATAAGAATCAGGATCCCACTGTATTAGGTATTATACAGGAAGAGGAAGTCCCTGTTCCATAAAAACCTTACAGTATGACCCTGACTATGTAGGATGAAGTGGATCTTTTCACTCTTGCAAAGCCCCAGTGATTTCCATGAGGCTTCCATGTGGGACTGGATTGCAGGGCTGAAGCCTAAATCCAAAACTAGAAGAAATAAGTTAATGGACAAAGGAAGGAAACTGATAGGAAGAACAAGGATAACAGAGAGAAAAGGATATGGTTACACAATCTAGTTAGAACACAATTAGGCCATTCTAATTTAAGGTAAAAGCGAGTTGCATAACCCTTGCAACATGGGCGACTGGTGCCTCCCGAGTCTGGGGTGGGGCACCAGATCAGTGACTGGGGGGGGTCCCCTAGTGGCTGATTGCCAGCTGGGGTGGTGGTAGGGGGGTGTTCCCTAGCGACTGATCGCCAAGCCCAAAATCACCAGTGGTGAAACCAGAAGTGCACTTCCACTGGCACTTTTGGTTTCGTGGCTGGCGTTTCCAGGGGGTGCAAGGCCAATCCTAGGGGCCATGTGTACCCCCACGCATTGCCAATGCCTTGCAACAGGATAATTTGTATCCTGCACCCAGTTGTAACTTTGGGGAGGTAAGCGGGGCACTAGCCTTGGGCCCCAACTTAGTATGGGTGCCAGAATTGCCCCTCCACCCCTGTGGAGTCCATGCCCTGGCAACAGAAGCAGCCCCATGGCACTGTTTTTGAAGCAGCTTCTGCATGCCCAGACACTGATGCTGCTGAAGGAGCAACAGCTGGGGCACACAAGCAGTTGAGGATTGTTTTTGAGGCTCTGGCCTAGGTTAGATTCCTGCTCCTGCTTTCCTCCCTCCCCCCTCTTCTCTCAGTACCCC